CCGCCGAGGGTTCGGATCCCACATACAGACCGGTTCCCGCTCACTGGCTGAGCGAGGTGCGGGCGCGACACCGAGGGTTGCGATCCCGTTGCTGGTCCCGGTCCGGTATCGGCGCGACACTGAGGGTTGCTATCCGTTGCTGGACACAAAAAAAGACAAAAAGGAAAAAAAATAATAATAATATAATACACTTTTCATGTACCCATCATCTAGCTTTGATAATTATCAACATTCTTCCATTTTTGTTTCATCTCTCTCTTCACATTTTCTTCCCTGAAGTACTTTCAACCCCATATATCACTTCATCCATAACTACTTCAGAATGTATCTCTAATGGATAAGAACTTAAGGGAAAAAAAAAATACCCAATATCTTTATGGTCTTAGAAGTCCTTAATTTTTTTTTTTTTTTTAAGATGACCGGTAAGGGGATCTTAACCCTTGACTTGGTGTTGTCAGCACCACCCTCATCCAATGAGCCAACCGGCCATCCCTATGTGGGATCTGAACCCACGGCCTTGGTGTTATCAGCACCACACTCTCCCTAGTGAGCCACAGGCCGGCCCAGAAGTCCTTAATTTTTTTTTTTTTCCTTTTTGTCTTTTTTCGTGACTGGTAACGGGATCGCAACCCTCAGTGTCGCGCCTGTACCGCGACCGGCAACGGGATCGCAACCCTCTGTGTCGTGCCCGCACCGCGCTCAACCAGTGAGCGGACCGGTCTCTATATGGGATCCGAACCCTCGGCGGGAGCGCCGCCGCACTCCCAAGCGCTGCACTCTACCGAGTGTGCCACCGGGCTGGCCCAGAAGTCCTTAATTTTAACAAAGTCAAATTTATCAATTTTTTTAAAATTTATTTTTTAAAGTGACTTATAAAATTATATGTATTTATCATGTACAACAGGATGTTTTAAAGTATATACATATTGTGGAATGGTTAAATCTGGCCAACTAACAAATGCATTACCTCATATAGTTATTTCTGTGGTGAGAACATTTAACATCCACTCTTTTAGTGTTTTTCAAGAATACATCGTCATTACAGTCACCATGCTGTACAGTAGATCTCTCGAACTTACTCCTCCTTTCTAACTATAATTATGCA